AAAGTCCCGAAAACATAATGAAAAGGTTGTTTTAAGCCGAATGATGCTGATTGAAAAGCTGCAATCTGACTTTTAAAAACCTCCAGATCTTCCCTAATGTGCACCATCCACTCTAAGTGAAAACCCACACAAAGCTGAATTCTTCATTACCTCCAGAAACCTAAATTAACATAAAAAACTCCCTGATGGAGAAGCCCAGAGATTGTGTTTGAAGGCCACATTACTTTTGTTTTCAGAAGGAAAAAGGAGATGTGGCTCCTTTGAAAGAAAAGAATGTTCTGAAGGGTTGTGCTGATCAAGGACAGCTTTCACTTTGCATTAGGGACATTTTATTGTCCCTTATTAGTGTTTATAAACGTCAGGAAATGTCCTTGGTAAGACCAAGCACTTTGTTTTTATCTGGGTCTGTCTCCACAGAGCTCTGTAACTGCCCATTTACTTCCACAAAGCTGAGGCACAATTCCATCAAATCAGAGCAGCATTTAATGCATAATGGCCATAGAATTCCATAGGACAAGAAAAACTGAATATGGAGATTTTTATTTCAAAAAGTCCCAGAACTGTGGTTATTTTTGTGTCTATCACCTTATTTTACAACAGGTTTAGGGGGAAATTTTTGCTTCAGGGCTTCCAAGTTTAGATTTTCAAATCTTAAACAGAGATTTAAGCCAGCCAGTTCCCTGGCTGTGGCTTCAGAATGAAAATCCCCTGAAGGTCTGACCAGCAAACAGAACATTGCACTCCAGGCAAGGATGTGAGGGAGGAGAGGAGCTGTGGAGAAGGATTTGGGGTCACGAAGGCTGGACATGCCCCGGCCATGGGCACTCCCAGCCCAGAGACACCCGTGTCCTGGGCTCATCCCACAGCCTGGGCAGCAGGGGAGGGGGGGATTCTGCCCCTCTGCCCCCTCAGGTGAGACCTCATCTGCAGAGCTGCCTCCAGCCCTGGGGAACAACAGCACAAGGACGTGGAGCTGCTGGAGAGAATCCAGAGGAGGCCCCGGAGATGCTCTGAGGGCTGGAGCCCCTCTGCTCTGGATTGAGGCTGGGAGAGCTGGGGGTGTCCAACTGGAGAAGAAAAGGATCCAGGGAGAACTTAGAGCCCCTTCCAGAGCCTAAAGGGGCTCCAAGAAAGTTCTAGAGGGACTTTGGACAAGGGATGGAGGGACAGGACAAGGGGGAATGGCTTCCCACTGCAAGAGGGAAGGATTAGATAGGATATTGGGAAGGAATTCTCTGTGAGGGTGGTGAGGAGCTAAGACGGAATTCCCAGAGAAGCTGTGGCTGCCCCTGGATCCCTGGAAGTGTCCAAGGCCAGGCTGGACAGGGCTTGGAGCAACCTGGGCTAGTGGAAGGCGTCCCTGCCCATGGCAGGGGTTGGAATGAGATGACCTTTTAGGTCCCTTCTCACCCAAACCAATCTGTGACCCCATGTGTAGGCAGAGGTGACAACAGGGATGAACCAGGACCCAACAGCAGGGTCAGGGGTCTGGGCTGTGTTTCAGTTCTCTGGAATAGGTAACAAAAAGACAAAGTCACGTTCTGGAACGCAGAAAAAAAAGGAAAATTGGAACTAAGGATAATTTCTTTAATAAACATACTGGAAAGGTAGGAGTAGGAACATGATTTGGTTTAAGGACAGAGCATCTTCTGTTTAGGCCATTCCTTTTTGTTCTGCCTTATCTTTACAGGTTTATTCTCTCATTCCAGATCTACAGAAATCCAGTGTCCATTTTTCCACCAGCATGTGAACACAGGACACCATTAATGCTTCAGAGCTCTACAAATCCAGCCAATTAGTGCAATTCCTTCACCCTTCCAAGATGTTTAAAGATAATTAGCATGAGAAACACAAATCCCTTCTGGAAGACCTTCCCTCTGGCTCTCAATTATTCCACAACATGATCCTTGGAACATCTGCTGATGTCTCTGTAGATGTTTCTCCTACATCTGGGTCACAGCACACACACCTGTTTCAACATCAGGAACTCTTCCATTCTCTTCAGAGAGAGATAAAATATCTACTGACCTGTATTATGATTTAAACTTTTCTCCTTTTTCTTTGACCAAGAGAGAAAAATTGTTTGTTCTATTTTTACTGTCTACAAAAAGAAAAAAAAAAAAAAAAGATATTTTCTCTTGGTGGCCACTCTTTGTTTCCTGTGTGTGATTTTCTTTTCTTGGTGAAAAGTAGTAATTGAAAACTCAGTCAGACCAAAGGACTTCCTAACACACATTTTTATCTGCCAAGGCCACCAGGAGCTGTTTCAAGAGTAAAAGAAATTCTGAATGGATTTATCCATTTTTAAACACATCATCCCCCTTTCAAGTGAAATTATTTTCCTTTAGTTGAGAAGTTGCCCTGGTCAAGACTTTATCATTGAAATAAAACGGTTTGGGATGGAAGGACTTTGAAGGTCATCCAGTTCCACTCCCTGCCATGGGCAGGGACACCTTCCACCATCCCAGGTTGCTCCAAGCCCTGTCCAACCTGGCCTTGGACACTTCCAGGGATGGGGCAGCCACAGCAAAGCACAACAATAATCCAGCTCTGGGGAATTATTGGAATGTGCTGCTGTCTAATAAATGTGGAGCAGAAGGTGACCAAGCTTGGATCTGTTTGTCAGCCCTAAAACCATCCATAATTAGATCTTCTCTGTTACTGAACATCCTATTTCTGTCTATACTTTGTTTACATCAAGAAACCAATTATCTCATTATGAGCCACTGCATGACAAGCAAATACAACTCAATTTA